ATTTTTCATCCCTTCACTTTCAAACTAAGTGAGTCTTTTTTTTTTTTTTTTTTTTTTTTTTTTTGTGAAGTGGGTGTCTTGTAAACAACGTACATGTGAGTCATGCTCTCTTATCCAGTCAGCTACTCTGTGTCTTTTTATCGCAACAGTGAAACCATTCACATTTAAGGTGATAGTTGATATGTGCTTATTTATTGCCATTTTTGTTTAGTGTCGTTCTATTTTTCTTCCTATTTCTTCTACTAATTACAGCAGTCCTTTTAGCATATCTTGCAGTGCTGGTTTGGTGTTAATACATTCCCTTAGCCTTTTTTTTTTTTTTTTTTTTTTGGTCTGGAAAGATTTTATTTGACCTTCTATTTTGAATAATAACCTTGCTGGATAGAGTAGACTTGGATTCAGATCCTTGTTTTTCATGACCTTGAGTACTTCAAGCCACTTTCTTCAGGGCTTTAGTGTTTCTGTTGAGAAGTCTGCTGAGAACTTTATAGTGTTTCCTTTGTTGATAACCTGTTTCTTATCTCTTGCTGCCTTTAGGATTCTCTCTTTGTCTTTAATTTTTCACATTTTGATTACCATGTGTCTTGGTGTGGGCCTGTTTGGGTTCTTCTTACTTGGGACTCTCTGTGCTTCTTGAACTTGAATGCCTTCTTCCATACCAAGTTAGGAAAGTTTTCTGTCATTATTTCTTCAAATATATTCTCTAACTTTCGCCCATTTTCTTTCTCTTCAGGGACTCCTATGATGCGAATGTTATTACATTTCCAGTTGTCCCACAGTTCTCTTAAGCTATCTTCCTGTTTTTTAATCATTTTTTCCTTTTGGTTTTTTGATTGGTTGAGTTTTTTTTTTTTTTTTTTTTTTTTTTACTCTGTCTTCTAATTCTGTGATCCCGATCCTCAGCTTCCTCTACTCTGCTGGTTAGTCCTTCCAATGTGTTTTTAATTTCTGCTATGTCATTCTTCATTTCCTCTTGGTTGGTTTTCAATGTTTCTATATCTTTACTCATGGCGCTGATGTCCTTACTCATGCTGTTGAGCTTCCTCAAGATCATGGCTCTAACTCTACCTCTGATAATTTGTTTAGCTGCATTTCATTGATCTCCTCTTCAATAAGTTCTCTTGTTCTTTCATTTGAGATTTTTTTTTCTTTGTTTCAACATTTTTGCTATATCAGTGGGTTTTGGGGTTTGTCAAATTTTGCCTGTGGGTGTTGGTGTTCTACTGTTTGTGGCTCCCTCTACTGGGTTTCGATGAGCCTGGGTGGGCACACTATAAACACCACTATCCAGTCTTATTTTGCTGGGTAGGTTTGTAAGCCTAGGAAAGGTTCAATTCTCCTCTAGCCTTTTCCTGGTGGCTAGTTGTCTCAGTTACTCAGTGCCTTGGAATGTGGCCCTGGTGTTCTGCCAGGAGGATTTCCAGAGGTGGGATAGATTCTGGTTGTTAATTAGCTTTAATTTTTATTTATTTGCCTCACCTGGAAATCCTGAATCTTCGAGGCAGGGTGCAGGCGGGGGCTGCTGCTTTTCCCCACAGCTCAGGGAAGGAGCACACTGACCACCATCCTTTGTGGCTGCAACTCAGCAAAAACTCTGAGTGCTCTCTAAATCCTGGGTGACCCCACAGAGTTCCAGCCCAGTCTGCTCTCCCTGTGCCATAGCCCACAGGTCAGTGGCTGTGGCTGTTTTAGTGCTCTTTTCTGGCTCTATGGGCTGTGGAGCAGGCTTGGTCTTTATTCCCCAAGGGCTCTACTCACAGCTAAGACTGCTGCTGTTGGTGGGCTCCCAGCCCGCCACCTTCTTGCACCTTCACAGATCCTACCAGTGTCCCTGGTTATATGGTCCTGTCCTCCTGCTTTTCTGTTGCTTTTTTCTGAGGGTTTGTCTTTATTTTAGTTGTAATTCCCGTTTGGTCCTGGGAGATCATCTGTGTGACTTTTATTCACTCCACCTCCTTTTTCACATCCTCCAAGCCTATCTTGTGTGCAGCTGGGTTGCCCAGGCCTTTCTAGTGCCCCTGCACCCTGCAGGTCCCATGGGTACCTGGATCGCACAGTCCCTCTGGGGACCAGATTCTATGCCTATGTTATGGGCTGCTGGGTCACCCAGGCTTCTCTGGTGCTTCTGTAACCCACAGGCCCCATGGGTAACTAGATCATGCAGTCCCTGCTGGGTTTCACAGGTCTCTGTGGTTCTTCAGCACCCCTCAGGTCCCACAAGAAACTGGGTGGCACAGTCCTGCTGGGTCTTGCAAGCCTCTCTGGTGCTTCAGAACCCCACAGGCCCCGTGGGTAACTAGATAGTGCAGTCCCTGCTGGGTGGCACATACCTCTCTGGTGCTTCAACACCCAGCAGGTCCCACAGGTTGTTGGTTGGCACAGTCCCTGCTGGTCACACAGACAATGACTGGACACTGCTGTAGAGTATGCCATGTCTCCACTACTGCCCACCATCAACAAATCATCAAACAAGTGTTGGCGAGGGTGTGGAGAAAAGGGGACTCTAGTGCACTGCTGGTGGAAATGCAGACTTGTGCAGACACTATGGAAAACAATATGGTGTTACCTCAAAAAATTAAAAATTGAACTTCCATTTGACCCAGTGAATCTTTATTGATTTTAGAGAGAGAGGAAGGGAAAGAGATGATAGATAGATAGATAGATGATAGATAGATAGATGATAGCTAGATAGATAGATAGATAGATAGATAGATAGATAGATGATAGAGACATCAATGAGAGAGAACATTGATTGGCTGCCTCCTGCATGCCCCCTACTGGCCCACAACCTTGGCTTGTGCCCTGACCAGGAATCATGCTGGTGACCTCTTGGTGCATGGGTCAGCTTTCAACCCCTGAGCCACACCAGCAGGGCGGGGGATTGCTATTTAATTTTACAGATAAGAATACTGAAGTCTGGAGTGTCCAGCTGTTAAGAGGCACAGTCAAGACTTTCAGAATCCACATTCATTGACTCTTACCACTTTACCACACCATTTCCATTAATTAAATGAGATGATACTAAGTATTTAATAAAATGAAAGCTACTGCTGCCTCTTTTCCTCCTCTTCCTTCTCATCACTGATCTTCTCCTCCTTCTCCTACTCTTCCTTCTAATTCTACTCAGTTTCCTTTTGGCAGTTTATAGTTTATATTTTGAATGCAGTAGAACCCCCAGAAGAGGAGGGGTGACATCAAAGGCACAAAATCATCCCCATTGCATCTCTTCCTTCCCTTTCTTTTGTCTCTTCACCTTCTTCCCTCCATCTTTCGTACTTCAGTTAGTTCTGTAAATATACTTTTAGACAATATTTTATTGCCTTAAAACATAAGGTTTACAAATAGAAAATACAAATCATGTTCTTTTCTTTTTTTTAATTATGATTTTTAAAAATAAAACAATGGATTTAGTAAACATTTTGCTAATATATGTTAAGGGGCTGAAGAGGAAACATCTTTCTTCTTGTCGAAAAGTAAGGCACACTTTCTCTTCAGTTCTCTTCCACCCCTAAACCACTCCCCTACCTGAAACGTGAACTTCTTTTACTAAGTACAGAGTATCTGTACACATGTACACACACACACACACACACACACACACACACACACACACACACACCAGGCTCTTCTGATAGTGGTGCAAACATCACAGTACTGTTGCCAGTACAGGCTGCTCCATATATGCTGAGTCCATGCCAGTAGCTGCAGAAAAACAGCACAGTGGTTATAATTACAGCTGCTCAATGTACAGGAAAAATGAACAAAATGTATTATTTTCAGGAAATGCTACCCAGACCTATGAATAGAGCCAGGCAGCAAGTTAGGCAGGAGCAGAGGTTAGCTTGGGTTGTTTTAAAGGCAACTTTTTAAATAATTTAAACATCTAACAAAAGGTTATTGCTAGAAGAGGGTGGGCATGCAAATTCTGTCCCCACCAGAGGTGAGATACATTTAATTTAATCAGATTTGATTCCCATTTCAAGGGCCATCTTTTCTTCTCACCTTTCCTCTCATCACTCAGAACCAGCTTTGGATTTTTCAGGGTGGAATGAATCAAGATTACTTTTCAGTAAAAATTACAGGACTTTGACTGGTATTTCCCTCTCTTTAGAGAAAATAAGCACTTAGCTTCTCAAGGCAGTATTTAGATGAAGGCATCAGAGGTGACTATGACATAGACTCTCTGGGTAAGGACTTCTTTTGTGGAGAAGAACATCCCCATTCCCATATTGAGCTACCAAAATTCCCAAATATAGGCTTCTAAAACATACTCACAAGGTAATATCCAGCACCCTAACACACCTAGATGGTTATCTCTCCCAAATTGGTTTCTTCTGCATGGGTACAACAAATTTTTTCTCAAGTTTATTGATGTTTAATTTGATCAGCTCTCAGGAAAGAATGTTGGGAGACAGATCCCAACATTAGGCTAGGAGAACCTAGGCTCAGAGTGCCCATGTAATTGTTCTAAAGGACCTTGTTCTGATAAAGCTTTATCTTCCATAGAATGTTAGTAGTCAGTCTGATGACCCAAGAATGACCCTCATCCAGAGCAGCTGCTGCTCCTTAGAATTGGACTTCTAAGGGTCTTAAGGCACTAGAACACTAATATCCTGAGTAAGCTTTCTTTCCATGAAAATTTGGCAGGCTTTCTTTATGAGGGATATAGGTGAAGATGAAAGCAAGGCACCAAGCCAGAACTGACTCCAGTACTCACCAGCCTCTCCTAATACCAGCTCTCAGAACTAAAAAAGGGAGGGGGCAGGAATCAAATCTGCATTTAGTGAAAGGTGTGATTTATCCCAACTAGACCATGCAAATCTTGAGTGAGTTCCAGGAGGCATGGGCACTGCCATCTAAGACACAAACATTACAGCCAGCTCCCTCCAGAAGCTGCTCCAATGAAGACCAGATACGTTGTGTTGGCAGTGAGAGCTGTGCTGGATAAAGAGGTGGGTGGGGTGTTCTCCTTGTTCCCTGAGTTGCAACCACCTTTTCTCTTAGAGACACTCCTTAGACACAGTGGTGGGTGGTTTGCTGGTACTGCTTACCTCCTCCTGTTCCTCTGAGAGTTTATTCTCAGGAGTTTCTTTGTTTGCTTTTTGCCTCTGGAGATCTGCCTTGATGAATGCAGTGAGGGCTGCTCCAAGGGTGAGGAACATACACAGAAAAATATTCCCAGGCATTGTTCCATAGTTGTTGGTAATATGGCCCTGGAAGATGGTGAAGATGATCCTGAATACCTGGATAGACACGTTGAGAAAGCCAGATGACATGCCTTCTGATTCTGGGTATGTCATCTCCACAGGAAACTCAAATCCTAGTGGGAGATAGACAGTCATAAAGAAGCCCATTATGCCAGCAGTGATGAACACTACCCACAGGTGTCCCAGGTTCAAGGACATTGTGTATGTCACCATGCCCACCAGAGTCATGATATAGACCACCAAGATTGTTTCCTTGTATGTTTGGGACCAATCAAGCCAGATGCCTGAGATCACAGCCCCAAGCATTCTTGCAAAAATGATGGTAAGGCCGATTCTTCTAGCATTCTCTTCTTCCCCTGGGTAGTGCAAGATCACCATACGATTCAGCACAGTGCACAAGGCATAAAAAGCTCCAGCATTCAGACTTTAGGTGATGATAAATTGCACAAGGTTGAGGTTTTAGAAGAGCTGGATGATGGAACTAAAGTAAGAAGCATCAGTGGGTACCAAGCCATAATTCAGGGATTGGCCCTGCTGGGAGGATATTCAGGCTTCTTGAATATGATGATGACAAGGATGAAAAGAAGAGTGGCAATACCACCTATTATGCAGAACATGATGCTGATGTGGTAGATCAACTTGTCCTTGTCTTCAATATTGGGTACCAAAACAGGAGGGACCAAGAACCCAATTGCAATTTCAAGCTGATTGCCAAAGACAGCTATGGAGCAGGACTTTGAAACCTCATTAGCCCCAAACCAGACTGAAGCTATGCAGGAGGGCATGCCCAGGATGAAGACCAGGGCCACAGAGCAAATGACCTGGCCCAGCACAGTGACTGTGAAGAGATGTGGCTTCAGGTTGCCCAACTTCACCCAGGCCCCCAAGCAGTTGAGAGCAGAGCAGGTGAGGGCAATGGTGTGCAGGCTGGATTTTTTCAGCACCCAGCCCTCTGGCATTAGTAGAAGTATGTACGTCAGTATGTAGCACATGGATATCCAGTCAATGGCAAAGTGACTGACGTGGTAAAAGTTCACGAAGACATTACTGATGGAGCCATACTGAATGAGCCACTGGAACACATTGCACATTGAGTAGCAGCTAAACAGGACCAACATCCAACAGGGCTTGCTCACCTTGATCACACTGAGGTCCTTGGGGCCTGAGCTACTTGGGTGAGCTGAACTACTTGAGTGAGCCAAGCCACTGGGTTGGGCCAAAGCACTGGGTTGGACTGAACTGCTAGGGTTCACAGAGACACCGAGATGGGCAGAGATGCTGGGATCTGCCTGGAGCTCAAACTCCTTCTTAGAGGTGCCATCCTGCTCCTCCAGGTTGGGATCTTCATTTACCATAACTACTGTCTCTGGTAGAGCCCTAGACTGGTGTTGAGGACTCTGGCTGATCTAAAGCCGACAGGGCACTTGCCCCAGTCTGTCCCAGAATAAATGGAGACTTAAGCCTACATAAAAGCCACAAGTTGGTCCCCTAATGCTCACCTCCAAATCTCTGCCACAACCTTCCCATGGGGCTCACTGTCCCTGATTGCTGTCTTCCAGGCCAGCCACAGACCCCTCAGCAGGGTCCTGACCACAGGTGCTTTGAGTCCTCCTAAGGCATTCTGTGCACATTCAGCTTCTGGTCCAGAAAAGAGTCCTTCCCTTTGATAGCTACTTCACCAGACTGTTCTCTCTGGGCTGCCTTGGGACCTCGCCCCCTAGGACCCACATGACTGCCCTGTCTCATTCTGCCTGGCTTCCCTGGCCCTCCCCCACCCTCTTATCCTCTCATCCCGCCCTCCCAATATCTTTGACCCTGCAGCCCAGTTGTTTTGCCACAGCTTGCCAGGTGCTTTCCTCCCCAATTTCCCAGGCACCATGGAAACCGCCCAGTTAGCCCCCATCCCCTGAACTGTCCCTCAAATGAATTTGTTCCCTCTCAGATGATACACGATATGCAAGAAAATCCCCTATACCCTTTCCAGGTAACCCACCAAATAAAGTTTCCTTGCACTATCCTGCACTATAAATATTTATTTTAAATTCTACTTTTGAAAATTCACTCTAGATTCAGACTTAGCCCTGGCAGATGGCCTGAGAGGTCAGCTTTCATTCAGAACCGGATTCTTCTCTTTTCAGCCGTGAAAGACAAATGTTTTATGATCAGCATATTTTATCTGCTGGGACTAGTTTATTTTGTTGCCTTGGCTTTTTAAGAGGTTTATTGTATGTAATGTATTCATGACAAATAACCAGTTGCTTTTGTTTCAAGAAAAGGACCTCCGAGGGACAAGTTACAATATGCTCCCCCGCCACAACCATAATTTTAGATGTGATAAAATAACATCTACAAGCATTACTATAAGGGGCCAGTGCCCATTAAAATAGTGCTAGCATATGTCTCTATTTATTATACTTTGTGGTATTTGTCAGTTTACTTGTCCACACTCCCCCTCCTCATTCTACTGTGTAGTCCTTAAGGGTACATCTTTGTCTAAATCACTTTTATATCCCTAGGGTCTAATACATGTTAAAAGTAGAATAGGAATAAAAAAATAACGTGGCTTCTACACAAAGAATAATTTACAAGCTTCTGAGGCTTTCTGGGAATATCCTGAAGCTTAAATTCCTCATGTCTTCAGCAGGTGCAGTAGTGATTTTACGGAGTGGCTCTTCAGGGACTCTTGCTTCCCTTCCCCCAGCTTCTTCTTAGTCTTCTTTGTCTCCTCTTTTTCCTTCAGGGTCATGCTTGCATCAGCAAATCCTGGCTTCTTCACACTTGGCAATGAAGAGTTTATAATCTGTTTATGAAAATGTCAAAGCCCCGTTTTAACTCTATGTAGCAGCTTTCACACATCATCATTTCATTTGGAGTCCTAACTAGATCTTAGAAGTTGCCATCTCTGCTCACATATTCTCTGAGTCTGAGCCCAATAAAATGAATAATTAAATATTTAATTCAGCTATCAGAAACAATAATGAGAATAAACAACTTAGAGGCCCAAATCGATTATCTTGTACTCCCATTACATCTGTGACAGCTGTTTCTCCATCCAGCCCCAAACATTTGTAAGTACAAAGGCTATAAAACTATAGCAGGAAATTACAAAACTCTGGACTTCTAAAAGCAAACCCCAATTTTTTCTTTAGAAATTCATAGCATTGGAATTGAACAAATTCATGTTGAAGCTTTAAAGAAATGTGTGCTGGACCTTAACCACCACCTCTGTGGCTGATAGGCTGACGGCTTGGGGTAAATCACCAAACTTCTCTGTGACTCTGTGGAGTCACCTGACAAGTGAGAGTACTCAATCTTGAGTTCCTCTGTGGAGTTACCAGGCAGCTTAAGGACACCTCTGTGTACAGAATGTGATCTGTAAGTTGGAAGGTGCTGACATGAATGTGGGAGGGGTTCCTCTTAGGATGTCTGGTTGGTCACAGATCTTGCGTTAGAAGTCCGAGTTTGCTTTAGCCCCAATTTACAATCATACAATATTAGCTTTCCCATGTAGTGTTACTCACATTACTTCTGGATTGCTGCTATTTTCCAGAGAAGTCAACAGTGCTTCCCCTTGATGTATACCAAGCATGCATGTTTTTACACAGTAGAAATAATCTTGAAGAATTGAATGAAAATCACATAGTCATACAACAACTCATGTTTACTTGAGGGGAGTTTACTTTCTGCAAGAAACCTGTGATGAATTATTTGGTAAAAGAAAACTCCCTTTTGTAATGAAAATAAACATCTTCTCTTAAATTTAGATTCTTATGTTATTTTTTCTTAGTCATGTCAGCCTGCAATGTATTCTAAAGTATTGTAATGTAAAGTAATGTGTTCTACCATATTCTGAAAAGAGGATGATGTAATCTAAGTGTTTAGGAAATAAAGAGTCAAAACTTATTAATGGTGATAGTAACTGCACCAGTTTATTGAGTGCTTGCTATGTGCCCCACACTGATTAATTGCTTTATATGTCCTATCTTATTGGAGCCTCACTATTTAGTAGATATCATGAAGGTGGACTACAGTAATTTATATTGTATAAAGCTTGGAGCCTGAGTCATGAAGCTGGGAGAGAACATAGAAATGGAAAGCAATTTCCCATGAGTCACTCAGCAAGTTATTGGAACAACTAGGATTAAAAAGGACACTTCCCAGCTGCCAGCCCATTGCCTATTCTACACACCTTCTTGTCTCTACTGCACACAACATTTCATGATTAATGGATACCAGATCACAGCAGTCGCAGATTAAAGGGTGAATGCATCATCAATAGGATATATATATATATATATATATATATATATATATATATATTTAAGGTAATATTTTATATTAATTTATTTTTGTTACAGATGTTTCTTTTCCCCCCATTGACACCCTCCTCCCAATCCTCCCCCAGCATTGTTGTTTTTGTCTATTGGTTATGCATACATGCATGTAAGTTCTTTGGTTTATCTTTTCCTTCCCCCCACCCCCCTCTTCTGAGGTTTGTCAGTCTGTACCCCACTTCTATGTCTCTGGGTCTATTTTGTTCATCAGCTTATTTTGTTCATTATATTCCAAAAATAAGTGAGATCATGTGATACTTGTTTTTCTCTGATTGGCTTATTATCAAGTATTATTGCCTTATCCTAAGATTGCTAACTCATCTTTAGAAAGAAAACCAAAACCAAATACACCTAGCTAATTTTCAGCAGCTATTATCACTGAATGGTTGGAAGATCATGAAAATGCTCTGAGTAGGTCAAACCTAAACTTTTAGGAACATGGTGTATCTTTCTCTGCCCTATGCCTCACAGCTACATTTGCAGAGATTCAGTTGGTAAATACTGACATCTGAATGGACATACCAAATTGCCTGCCAAGTAGCTTCTTCTGTTAGAAGAACTGGACCTTAGAAGAATATACCTAGCACTCTGTTAGAGTAAAATCTTTGACTATGGGAGGTGGGTTGCTTGAGGAATGCTATAGGAAAAAGCCCCAGTTAGAAGCCAAGATCCATGAAAGAAGTGATCACAGACAATTAAAGATTCTTGTCTGGAATTGGCTGGTTTCTGTCTGTACATCCCACACCCAAACTCCTCTCTTTAAAAAGCAATTACTGAAGTATTTTGATGGTGTTGTAAGGTTTAAAATTTGAGGATGTAAAAAGGTGCCCAATTATGCCAGAGTTTTGCCAAGCATAGCACAGACAGAGTAAAGGGACTGGGTATCCAGAAGCTATTTAGTCATGTCCCTTCAGGGAATGAGAACCTCTAAGGAGTAAGATTTGTGTGATCTGTGAGTACTTACCGCTGCAGATAACTTAAATGCCATGCAGCAATTAAGTGTGGACCTAGTGGAAGAGTAGGAAAAGTATAGCAAACAACCACCTCTCTACACTTCCCAAGCCAGTGCCCATTTTAGGGAGGCTGCGTTACCTCTTGTCTGTGCTGTTGCAACAAACATCCCCCTAAGTGTTCTCCACCTTCCTGCATCTCTCCTCTTTGGCCTCTTTCTCCTCCAGCATTTATCATAACAGAGTGCTAGGTACATCCTTCTAAGGCCCAGTTCTGACTACCTTTGTCTTATAATTAGAGTTTAGCAGCCAAGGAACAGTCTACCTTCCTCAGTTTTCTGTTCTTGGGCTTCCCAACCAATTGAACAGCCCTCTGGTCTCCTTCACCTGTATTCATTGTCAGCCAAACTGGACCCCTCAGTACTTTCTGAAAACACTCTCATATTTTCTGCCTCGGCTATAGCTGTTAACTTAAATGTATTTCTCCTTCTTATAGTTTTATTTATATCATCCACTTTACTAAACTTTTCCTGACTCCTTGCTCCCAATTGGAAAGGATTTTTCCTCCTCAGAACTCACATAGCCGGGTCAGTGAACTTTTTTCTTGGCTCAAATTCATGTTGTTTGTGACTTATCTGTCTTCTCAGTGGATATTGAGTTCCTCAAGGGTAAGGATCTGTGCTGGATTCATTGTCACATTGTTGCATGGTGTCTTAACAGAGTTCTTGTTTAATGTTGGGGTGGCCCCACCTGCCAATCTGAAAGGCTTGAAAAAACCCTGATATTCTGAGGGAGGTGATAAAAACACATTACTCCCCTTCTCAGGACTTTAGGTTTCTGCTCTACCATTCAGGGGGTTTGGTCACCTCCACTATTCTCTGATTCTACTTTACAAGAAATGTTTGTATCTGCTTTTAATTTTTTCCTTTTGGGACCCCCATTTCCCAATATTCCTAGTGTCTTTCCCATTTGTTATCGTGCAAACCAAAGCAGTAATACAAAGTCATGCAGAATCTGCATAACATAGTTGTAATGCAAATTTAACATTGGGTACATTGCCTGCTACATAAT